CTTCATTACTACCATATCAATCATCACAGCACAATCAGCAAACATGTGTAGTGTAAGTTCACCTAACTCTAGAGAAACATCATTTGCGTACAATACAAACAAACCTATACAAAACCCAACACATACCGAGTGTACATTTTGGTATACAATTGTATAAATACATTGTATTATATACAATGTCTGACGTGTACAAACCTATACAGCAAACTTTGAATCAAGCAAATATACAACCTAGGAAACAAGCAATTCACACATAGAAATGAAAACGTATTTCCGTATACATACAAACAAACATGTACCTAAAAAAACCCAAAAAGCATTTGTATTAATCATAGATGTCTAGATGTAATATACAAATAGGCACAAACGCGCATTGACACATTTGCGTGCGTGCGTGCGTGCGTGCGTGCGTGTAGGTGTGCGAACATACAGCCAACAGCATTAATGATCTTTTAATGATAAGCAGTAGGGGATCAAATGAATTACTACACAAAATTACAACCCCACATTTACATATTTCATCGTCGTCGTCGTCATCGTCATCGACATCGCAGTAATAATTGTCCCCCACCGTCACTATCATCATCGTCACCAGCATCATCATCATCATCATTACTCTCAACATCGTGACTTTACACAGCCATCTGCCATCGTACAATTACCATTCCTCTATCACATATTCATCATCTTTTTTTATCTGCTACTCATTTAGATGTCTATTCATTAGCAAATTTTCATGAGTTTTATCACCAACATCGTCATAATCATTATTTTCATTTGTAAATAACAATGCGGAAACATTATCGTTTTTTCGGTGGTGAAATGAAATGATGAAACCACTGTTATAACAAAACCAACACCAACTTTCTTAACAATAGTAACTAAAACAGACATGAGCAAAACAACATCGTTAACATTAACAACACACCTGAAAATTGATCACAAAACACTAACCATCCAATCAACCCATCCAACACTTACATGAGTGAATTTTATTTGAACTATTATGTTGTGCTGGTTAATTAGGTAACATTTCATGTACAACCACAAGCTCATACCCACACACGCACGCACAAACGCACGCACGCACGCACACAGACATCTATTGAAAGGTAGGTATTTTAAACCGCAATCATTTATATACACACACTGACAACTGACCATCAGCAAATATCTTAAAATGTAAATACAGAAAAAAATGACATTAGACAAAATACACACTACTAAATTATACACACGCACACCCACACAAACACACAGCTAATATATAACAAAGACCATCGAACTCAAGTTAATTAATAAAACACATTCATGTTTCCACAAAATAAACCCTAAAATAAAAATCAGAGAAAAATCCCTAATTTCTCTAATCACACTAACCATCATCAACAGACAGCTTTTTATTGTCCCCGGCCACAGTCAACGACAGTGAAGCTGGTGGCAGTCGATCGTAACATAAGGACAACTTTCTTCTTACACACATTACTGATGACGTCGACGTCGCTGACGGTTGCTGCAGTAGCTTCTCTCGCTTCCTATTGTATAAATTGTTTAATGATAACAATAAATTATTCAATAATATATATTTAAAAAACATTATTTGATAAACATTTACCAGACACTAAACAAACATTAAATAATTCAATTACTGTTATTAGGAATAATATCAATCCTCGTTTTGATAAGTTATTAGGAATAATAACTACAATGCAAAATTGTTATTGAACAATATGAGAGTTTAAAAATAATTGTATAAATGAATGCCAATTCTAAGTCAACGGAGAGAAGTATATAATTGAAGAGGGATTAGGTATAAGTAGTGATATGATCAAATGGAATATGTTAACACAAGTGTGTATTTGTGCATTTTTGATTTTTTTACCCATTTCAGCAAAGTACAACAAAACAAAACCAAAAAAAATAAAATCACCAGGAGCAACATCTATCGACAACAAACCACATAATCATTCAGCGCAGCAAAATGTACAGAAACATTAGACATACAACTTACACAAAGTTACATACATGCATGAAGTTAGAACTCTGGAAGAATTGTTTGCAATATAAATTAATGCAATCGATGAATGAAAAGTGAAAACACAAAACAGATGACAAAAAACGGAAACAACCATAACCACAACAACTCATCAACAAAATAATACTAAGATAAAACAACATCAACAAAGTTAAAATATGAAACAACAACAACAGCAACAACAACACAAATAAGCAGCACAACGAAATGGAGAAATGGAGCGCACACAGCTGGCTAGAGAATGATAATAAATTTAAACTCTAGGTGTCACTGTCCCTGGTTATACGATACATTTGGGGGTCACATAAAATAAGCACATCACTCTTTGTATCAGTTTCACTATCTCCATCATTATCACTATCATATTTATCATTATTTCTATCTTCATCATTGTTACTGTCATCCTCATTATATATATATATATATATATATATATATATATATATATATATATATAGTACACACACACACACACATATATATATAGTATATATATATATATATATATATATATATATATATATATGCTGGTTAGTAAAAGACCATAATTAATGAATTAATTTATAAAATCTACTGAATTTCAAGCTTGGATAGTTATTATTATTATTAGTACATCATTATGGTTTCTTTTGTTACAATATATATATATATATATATATATATATATATTATATACATACATACATACACACACGCATACATATATAAATGCACTGGGTTGTGTTGGTATGTTTGTCTGACTGATTGAATGAATTTCAGAACAGGTGGTGTTGCTTTTGTTACCATGATAATGATTTCCAAAAACAAATGCAATAATAATAATGTAATAATAATAATAAAGAAACATCAAAAATACTGATATCGATAATGATAATAATAATAACATTAATGTTAGTAAAAAAATTCACATATATGTTTGAGTGTGTTGCGTGTTGCGTGTGTGTGTGAATAAATATCAATGCATTTTCAGCTTTGAAAAGAGCTGAAAAATATTTCTTAACAATTGTATCTACCACAGCAGTCTCAATCCAAATTATTTCTATTAACAAACATCTCATTAAAGTTATTGCAGACAGATCAATTTTGACGTTATATATACATATATATATAATATATATGTATAATATATACATATATATAGATACAAACAATAGCAATGAAAATAATAAAAGAGTTCCAGCAGTGGGGACGAAATTGTTCTACTGAGAAAAAAAACATCTGCAGATTTGAATTTTGAATAAGTGAATCAAGAACTAACAATACATGAATGAGTGAATGAATGAATGAATGAGTGAATGAATGAGTGAATGAATGAATGAATGAATGAATGAATGAATGAATGAATGAATGAATGAATGAATGGATGGATGAGAAAATGAATGAATAAAAACAAATATGCCTAACTCTTCAGAGGAATAAAGAAAGCAACTCGTGATGACAACAATGAATGAACAGTGATAACAAGTCAAATATAGGCCAATCACCAACAGATTGCATGGTATATCACTTACCTTTCAATATCTATTTGTATCATCATTATCATAATTATTCTCATCTTTTCCATCATTACTATCACCATCATTATCATTCCTATCACCATGGCTATCATCAGTTATATCATTTTACATGATTGATATACTAAATGATAATGATGGCATAATATATAATTAATAATTATTATTATCATCAAGGTAAATAAATTATATTACTAATAGTGTTATTACAATTACTAAGGTTTTAACAATGCATTTGTTAAGCTGCAGTTGTTGTTAGCTCAATAACTGACATCAAATTTGTAAACAATAACATATTTTAGAAATTACAAACCACCATGAGAAAGATTTAGTTGTTTGAAGTGTGATAACGTTCTAATTGTGCTGTTTTTTTCAAGGTAAAACTTCACATCAGTACCTATGCTAATCAGCCACTTCCAGTTTATAATCATTTACAAAGCTGGTTACCATCCAAATTTTAATTTTCAATGAAGGAAAAGTTGATGAGAAGTGTTAGTTAAATAAATTGCAATCTTTCAAGCTTTTAATGTTACTAGAAAAATTTTGTTAAATAGTTGTCATTAATTTTGTTGGCATGTCCTAAAACGAGAATGTTGTTAAAGCTGATGAAAAAAGCAAAATAAATTTTTTGTAGTGATATATAATCTGAGATCAATAAAATGATACATCATTAAAAAGTTGATAAATATTTATTAAACTCTATTTAATTGCATCTAAGGCTTTAATTATACTGCTCATTGCATGCATTGGGGAAACACATAGAAAGATCACACAATAAGTCACAATGTTGATTACTTAATTATTCCTAAAATAGTTACAAAAATAACTGGTATAAATGTGATTGCATTTATAACAAGGGTAGTTTAACATTCTATTTCTGCAACAGACAACAGATATAAAAGTAAAAACAGATCTGTTTAGCTTTGTAACAAAAAGAATGAGTTAGCTTCTGTAAAGCAGTGATCACAAACATTTGTTAATGAGATGCTCATTTGAAAATGATTCCCTGCCAAAATAATATGATGATGTTTAAATGTTTGAAAGGTGCAGTAGGTTAACATATAAACAAATTGAATGGAAGAGCATTTTATTTAATAAATGAAAGTTTTAAATGTTAGACTCAGAATTGATGGAAGATGAATAGATTTCTAGGGTAAGTTAAACTTTTGAATGCTTGAACAGTTGAACATTCAGCTTTATGAGCACAAACTGAATATGTGTGCTGAAATTAATGACAAACAAAAAAAAAGTTGTGAATAAAAATTGCATTATGTATTTCCACTCTTCTTTATTATGTAGATCTGACAAAATAAGCATCATTTCATTTTTAAATGGAATAGTTGAATTTGAATGTTAGTACCACAGAGCTGTACATACATATTTGTAAGTATAGAATTATATTATTATAGAGATAGCAAAAAATCTGTCACAAGTTTCAGAAAGATAGAATTTTAAACCATGTCATTGTGCAGCAATGTCAATGCAAAATTTGGTACATTGCCTAAGCAAATAAAATAAATCAAATTATAAAAATAATGTCAAACTAGGCTGAAAATATAGTTACTTCATCATCTCCTCACGATGGTCACCATCATTTGCAACCCTTTCTTTCTTACAAGATGTTGTGGAAAGTTCCTGAAGATCGTTGGCCAGATGAAGTGATGGGGACTCTTCAGAGATGGAATTGTAAGAAAACAACTTCCTCTTCCATCTTGCTGGACTCCTCTGCCTATTTAAGCGGCTTCCATCCACCGTCATAACGCCAAGTTCGACATTGCTAGTAGTAGAAGTAGAACAGATGGTGTCTGTGTCTGCTGCTGACGATGACGACAATGCAGCAGACATTTGCAGATTTAAGTCAAAATAACTTTATTATATTTATATTATTAAATAATAATTATTTCTGTTGAGAAAGGTTATTTTGAAAAGCGTTTTTTTGAAAGACGTAATTGCTGTCTGTAATGATGTTTAAAAAAGCCTCCTAAAAAATTGTCAGTCTAGTTAGCAAGTGTACAAACAGACGAGCTACTCATGGCAATTAGTATTTAAAAGCGAAAAAGATAATAATAACTTTAATGTAAATTGATAAATAAATAAATACAAAAAATAAATAAAAGTAAGATATTTATAATTTTAACGAAATAACTACAAAAACAACTTATTAAACACACACATGTATATATTTATCTCGTACATATATATATATATATATATATATATATATATATATATATATATATATATATATATATATATATATATATCTACATACACATTTTGTCTAAATATTTATGCATGGTATTTTACTTGACTACAATACAAATTATCCGGTGTATATATATATATATATATATATATATATATATATATATAAGAAGAAGAGATATATATTTATATAAGATGAATAAACATACATACAAATGTTTGTGTGTGTGTGTGTAATTTATATTATCATTAATGTGATTGAAATAAATAATATAAAAAAACATTAATCACATTCTTATCAAGAAGATCGTTCTGTATATAGATAAAAGTTATAGTTAATTTATGGCAATGTATATAGAACATCTAAACGGATGTACATGTATGTAATCTACATGTAATATACGCAACTCATTTCGGATGTGGTACCCACACACTACACGCACGCACACAGACACACACAAACACACACACAGAGCAAAACCTACCGATGTTACTATTTTACATTTATATTCATCTCATTCATCAATTTGAATGTATATTCATACCCATTTGTAAAATAACTACCCATGATGTAGAAAATGAAAATTTGAAATAAACACGGTGTTTTTGATTTGTTCAAAGACGATTTTAATACAATCGTTATATATATATATATATATATATATATATATATATATATGTGTGTGTGTGTGTGTGTGTGTGTGTGTGTGTGTGTGTGTGTGTGTGTGTGTGTGTGTGTGTGTGTGTGTGTGTGTGTGTGTGTGTGTGTGTGTGTATTTACACACATATATATCTAGATTACATACATTCTTTCTTCGTAGATTTTAAGAAGTTAAAAGAATTAAATATAATATATACATATACCTATACACGCACACAACTTAAGTGTTTATTAACTATATAACAAACGTTATATTCGTACACATTACATAATTCAAATTCGAATTATTAGCATTACAACTCTCAGCAGCCAATAGGCTAGCGCTAGAAGAAGGCGCAGTTAGGATTAACAATTTGGCTGTCTTTTCAAAAAAACAAAAACTGCGCTAATTTTAAATTCTTTGTAATGCTGTTCGTTTTTTTTAGATGAGTTATGTTTATTTTCTTATTTTTCACACATTTATTCGTAAATAAAATAACTATACATTCCTCGTTTATAACAAAACTCGACATATAACAACCAAACATCTACACACACAAACCACACACAAACACTCACACACATCCGACACACATACAATAAATGTATGATCATAGCCCATGGATTATATCCATGTCATAGCCATAAAATGGAATCATGACACATTGTATATACAGAATTTTTTTCATATTTTTTGTATGTTGTTTTGTGATCGTACAAAAACAACAGAAACAAAGCTAATACATGTATGCTGGTTCTTTTCTAACACCCACTGTGTGCACAACGATTTGATGGTTTGACCCCGCCCTACCATTTTTATCGTGCTACTGGGACATAAAATGATTAATATTGATTATAAATGCATGCTGTAAGCTTCTTCGTTTCCTTTCTCTCTCTCTCACTCTCTCTCTCTCTCTCTCTCTCTCTCTATATATATATATATATATATATATATATATATATAAGTACTTAAGTATTTTAAGTATATGATATATTATCGAAGATTTATAAAGCGCTTAAATAAAATATTTTTATTAAGTGCTATCTAGCACAAAAAAACAAAAGCATGAGTGAACAGTTAACGACGAAACATAAATCAAGTGTCTACTGCAAAAATAATGAAGTTCTCAGGTTCTTCTTGAAGTTTCCAATTCCTAGTTCCGACATTCGCAATGATCCTGCAAACTGTTCCAGATTATCGGTCCTGACACGGCAATATCTCTGGATGGCGCCTGTAGATGCATGGGTGGAACGACCAACAAGCTACTATCGTTCAATCTCAGTTGTGTACAACTTGAAGATGCTGATTTTTTCATGATCCTGTTCGTCAAGTATTCCGGCCGGCAGGAGTTCGTTAAAGGCCTTGTACATTGTATATATATAGGCCTTATATATATATATATATATATATTAATATATATATATATACATATATATATATATACGCCGAACATGCTGTGATTTTTATCAATAATTGCATTCTGCAAATCTTATTATATATAGGGTGATGGGGGCCCAGAAATTGTGACGCATTAAAAAGGAATGCTAGAAACTTGTGACAATTTGTGCCAGAAAGAAGTGGGAATCAAAAAATCAAAAAAAGCCTACCATCCTCCTAAGCGATGGTAATAGAATAACAAAACCGATAGAAACTGTTGATAGAAAACACATTAACGATAAAACTCCAGTATGTTATCGCCAAAAAACAGTTGTTTTATCTGGCTTCACAATTTATATGTTCTATAACTATGGTTTTAATGTTCGGAGAGAGTTTTGTAAATTAAAATTTATACATGTTTATATATTTAAATATTGGATAAAACAATATAACGCAATTAAATAGTTTTATTTAATGAATATAGATAGATATAATTCATATTCATAAAACTCTGTTTTGGCATAGATAGAAAAAAAATAGAGGTAGAATATATAAACCCAGGCCCGGTTCTAAGCATAGGCGACATAGGCGGCCCTAGGGCGTCCCGCATTTAAGGTTTTCAAGTTCGGTATTTTCATTAAAAGAAATTAGTAATTTTCACTAAATCTTTTCTATGCGATTATAGCTCTGATAAAGATTTTTCAGCAATGAGAAAGCAAAAATATTAGCAATTGAACTGAAAATTTGTGAAGCATTCAATAAAGAGAAATTCACACGTGTGCGCAAAAGAACCGCCAATTTTCAACTGGAAGTAATGATGAGCCGATAGTATTACTTGAACAAATGTTTAGAGTATAAACATTAAACATATCAATTCAAGCAATAAATGATAGATTTACTCAAATATTAAAACATGCGTTATTGGGGCTTCTGTAAAATATAAAAAGCATAAATTTAAAGGATAACGAATTATCAAAGCACTGTAAGTAAGGAATAACAATTAGTGAATCAGATATCAACAGATGAGAACTGTGGAACAAAATGAAAGCTACAGGGAAACTTGTTGATCCATCAAAAAGAGATCCAAAAAATGTTTTGCAATATATTTATTCTTCAAAATTTGTTGAAGTATTCCCTAATCATTCGATAGCTCCTCGGATTCTTCTAACGTTACCGGTAACAGTTGCTAGTGCCGAAAGATGGTAAAAAAGATCATGTTTGGTTGGTCTTGTTACCATTTCAAACAAAAAAAAATTGCTGACCAATTGGATATAGAAGAATAAGTAAAAAATTTAATAATTTGTTAAAATGTTTTTAAATATGAATCGATTTATTTGTGTAAAGTTTGTTTTCAAATGATTTTTATAATAAAGTTAAATAAAATTGGAATTTAGATAATCAGATTTTGCTTCATTTTTCAAATCAAATATTACTGCATAGGAGCGGCTAAGTCGCATGTTGCCTCGGCACAAAAGATTTAGAACCGGGTCTGTATCAACCATATTTGAAACTTATGCATTTAATCATTTAAAATATAATTTTTAATGCCTTATTTTGTAATACTTCAATCATATCATCAAGACAAATAACTATTCCCCGAACGAAATAGGTACATATTTTGACAACGATTTACGATTTACAAAAAAACGACAAAATGTGGTAAAATTTTATACGTAACCATAAAATTATTTTTGGCTTACTATCGCTTATCTTTTTCTGAAAAATTTGTTTTTTTAATTTTTATGAAAACTTCTATGTTTCCTTACAGACCCACACGTGCTGCGCGAATTAATTTAATAGGATAGCGTTATGCTGACTGAAAAAATGTGGAATTAAAAATATTATAGTACTTTGAGGTATTAAGAATATAAAGACTAAGGTTGAAACCGACAAGCTCCAGAGACAGGTGCCATTGTAAACTAGCAGTAACCCTGCTAGTTTAGTAAAAATAATGACAGGAAATAGGAAGAAATATATATTCTATGTTAATTTTATTTCATACGCAGCGCACAACAGAAAATGAAACATTATGAATGAAACAAATGGAACATTGACAATGGGACATATTGAGAATAGTAAGAGGGAATATTGCTTATTTAAATTTAAATTAGGCATATACTTTATTTATTATTTAACGTATTTTAATTTTCAAATAATATTTAGTATTAAATAATAATTTAAGAGTTGCAAACATGGATATATTATGGATGGTTATATTATATATATCCATGGTTGTAAATGCAAGCAAAGACAGAGAAAAAGAAAAGGTATATAATGTTCATTGCCCGATCGTTAATCTTCATCAATAAAATTTTCCTAAAATGGCTCCGACATCGTCCTTTTTTTAAGCGTATCATTTTTTGCGAATTTTTAGAAAACAAATCGTTGAATTTAAAAACTGTTACGGTAAATTGATAAAATAATTATTGTTGAGTTGGAAAATTGAAAGCTTGATCAAATTTTGAAAAACTTGAAACTGAAGATCGAAGATCGTGACTCTTTTCGACGTAAGTGTATTTTCAACAGAAACGAAGTTTCTGCTACTTGATTGCGTTTTCGAAAGATCGACGGCCAAGTTCACTTTTTATCTTTTCAATTATAATTTAATTCGTTCTATGATTTTAGAATTAATATCTATAGACTCCCCTTAGACTTACTGGTAAAGTATGTCATAACGTAATAACTTAGAAAGAAAGGTAGTTAAAAGTTATTAAGTGTGTAGGTAACTTTATTTACGCAAAGATTTCAGCCGGTTTTTAGTAGGATGCGCCTTGGAATGTAGCAGATTTGCATTTGGGCTTAATAATTATCGAATTTATAGTTGATTAATCAATTTTAATCACAATCTACTTTATCCAATGAATGAAATTATGATAGTTTGAAATTGATTGATCTACAACTTATTCTATTCATTTGTTCTACAACCCATTTTATTTCATATATAGTATAGTTGTATGAATATATGGGTGAATGAATGAAAGAAATAGTTATATAATATTTAAATTTGTTTGTAAGTAGTTATTGCAATGGCAAGTAATATGAAATTTACTTTGGATTAGGTTGCTCCATGTCAATATTTACATTAATTTTTTCCAAAATTTGGTAAATTAGTTTTAAACGTCAATGAAAAATGTTTTTTTTACATTCTAGGAAAAGAAATGGCAAAAATTTCCACGTTCGAAAATTTGGCCAGCTTAAATGAAGAATTAAAAATAAAAAATCAGTTGGTAAGGAAATTTACGAAAAATTGTTCAAAACCAACTGACGCTCTCAAAAGTATTCAAAACCTGGAGAAACTAGGCTACCTGAAATTGATTCCATTAGACGTGTTTGTCGAGTTTGGACTTGATACATCCCATCTGAAGAGGAAATCAGAAGATCAAGATGATTCATCAATGGACCAAGTCAATAACAAATGTAAGAAGAGCAGAGGCTTGGAATTATCAGAGAGTGATCTCAGTAAAAAACCTTCCAAAGGAAAAATTTATGGGAGGAAGTATGGTCGATTTGCCCCAAAAGCTAGCTTTAGACATCATGATCTAAAGAAGAAGAAAGAGGCAACTAAATCTACCAGAGGTCATGCGAGTGCTAGTGTTGCAATCACACCAGAAAAAGGTTAGTTTTGATTATTTACCTAGAAATATATAGTTCAAATGTTATTAAATAAACATATTATTATTTTTATTACATGTGAAGTGTATATAGCACCCATTCAGGTCCTTATGAATGCTCTGAACTTTTCATGCTACAAAGACTGAATGCTCCACACAGCACGACATACAACACGCTATGTATGCATATGTGAGCCCTGCATATCTTAGTCTTTGATTTTCTGACAGACAGTATTTGAACCAGGCCATTGCGTAACTGCACGAGACATGGCACTTTTGCTGATTGAGCTACTGTCTAACTCAAACTAATAAACTATTAATAATATTTCAATTATATAGACAAATACTATATCGTTGGGCAAGCATATTTGTTTCAGAAGCAGTGATGAAATTGGATTGATTTTTTCTCTTTTAATTGTTCAGACGATAACCTGAAGGCTGTAAAGCTAGATAGGAGCATGGTTTTAAAAGCATTGAAAGCCTTCATGTTTCCATGTGTTAATGTGGAACAGTTGAAAAGCTCTGATGTTATTAAAAGATCTATTAAACCTTTAACTATTGAAAATGGTTACTAAACGCTTAACTAATGTTTAAATAAATAAATTAAAAAACTTTATAATGATCATTAAAATTCTAAAAAACTTTATGAATTTTATTAAAAGTCAAAAAATAATTGAAATAGGCACTATAAAAAGTGCTGATAATCAGATGAGTGTGGAGGCAGAATGTCTGAAATCAGTGCAGCTTGATAGGACTTCTGTTGAAATGGCTCTCTCTGCCCTTGAGCTGCCTAATGAGAACAACAAATGTGTTGCTCTTGTTTTAGGTACAAATTTATTGTCTAAAATGTTGTATTTGTTTTTAACTAAGAAATTCTAAAGAGAAAAAGGCTTTTTAACAGAGGTGTGCAAGTATTCGAATTTGTCACCAACCTCTCCCTGTTTTTGAACATTTGCTGTCCATCTTCCATTACAATTTATGAAAAATTTTTACTTATTACCAATTTTTTATTTCTACTCCTTTCCCTAATTTTGCATTCCCATTTTCAATTCTTCATCTTTTTTTTTTCAGTTTTTTCAGGTTCTAACTTCATCAGCAATGTAGGACCTCTTTAAGACATTACACTTCATGCATTGCAGATGCATTATTTAAAAAACAAACATAGGGAATTTTTTTACATGAATGAAATGATGTAAAGCTGCATTTTAAAGTAAATTTTTTCATGTTAGATCATGAGGATTGTTTTTTTTCTAATTCCCATTTCCTCCTTCAAATTTCTAAATCAAAAAAATTATTTTTCCAATTCTTATTGCAGAGCTCACCTCTGTTATATATTTAAGCCCTAATATGTATTAGAGCATGCTAGCATGTTAACCTATAGTGCATAATAAACTTTCTGGCAAGGTTTGTTGGCTTGCTCCTTTTCTGATAAAGATTTGTAGTGCTATTGCTAATATTGTGTTATTAATACTCTTTTTACTTTTACAGCAAAAGCAATTAAAATTTCACTTTGATTTTTTTGTTACTGATGTTTATCATGTTCAGTCATATTTGAATCATTCTGACATAATTAAACAATATATGTTCAAGGATGAAATAACATCACATTGTTTTATGTACCTTTTTTGATAATTCACATTACTTTGTTTTCAATAGTATACTTTTATTAATGAATATTTTTTGGGTTAACGTATCCAGATAAAAATGAAGATCCAAGAGAAGAAAGGCCTACAAAAGAAAATTTACTTGTGTCTGATGAGCAGCCTGATTATGACACCAGTCTAATTCAATATCCTGATTTTCCTAAATCAGTTTCAAAGGTATGCAAAAATGATTTCTGTCAACTTGGATGTATTTGCAACAGTTTGAAGGTTTTGCCAAAAAATGTAGAGAAAAAGCACTGTGGAAAAGTACAGTGTATGTTTAGTTGCCACTGCCAACATTTGACAAGATCTAGGGCCCCTTTATTTGCATCTTTGTCTCCAATATTGGATTCCAAGTTTTCAACTTACAGCTTGGAATCGATTAAATTCTCCCCAAGAATGACTCTCTATTCTCCACAGGCACCAGCTAAGAATGAATTGCTGCTTAATAACACTTCTGATTTAGAGCAGAGCAATCTCAATAAATCAGATGGTGCTATCAGAAAAGGATTTCAAATAAGTGAAAGCCACAGGAAAGTTTCTACCAATGTTAGTGAAAATGAAAATGAACCTAATGTTAGAAAAAGTAGAAGAGTGAAAGTAAACTTAAAGAGTTTATTCGAAATGGAGTCCAATAAAGCAGAAATATCTACAAATAAAAAAACAAGAACAATTAAGAGTAAAGTTGGTTGAATTTTTTATTTGACTTTTTCGTTAATTACATTTTAAAAACAAAATATATATTTTAATAAAATTTTCAAATTGTTTTTAGAGGTCCCCAAGCTTGCCTGCTAGTGAAATAACATCTGGTTTAGCTTCCAATCAGGATCAAAAAAATGTTAGTGAATAAAGTTTTATTTGTTCAGAAATACTTTGTTTCTTTAATTGATTTTGGATAAATGGTTAATTAAAAAGCAATTTAATATTCAATAAATACATTCAGAGCGAAGAATATTTTGAGATCTCAAGTGAGAGTGAAGATGAAACAAACATAAGGTCTGTCTCCTGTGCTAGAACATATCATCTGTTCACTAAGAAGTATCGTTGCATATTTTCAACATCACACCTTTTTTTTGCCTTTCTTCAAATTTTAGTTAGTAACATTTAATGATATATTTAAAAATTTTTTAAAGGTCGAGAAAATCAGAGCCCCTACCCACTACAAGTGCAAACAGACTCTTGGTTGAAGCACTGAAAAAAGGAGCATCCAATAAAGCGAATGTGAAAAAACAGAGCGCTACTACTAATACCCTTAATAATGCTAGAAGTAGTAGTAGAAATAACACGCCACCTGATGATGAGAATATTGTATGCTATTTAGCCAAAAAAATTGTTATCAAGGAAGGACGAGAGATAGAACTACATCTTCTGATGGAAACACGCGCAAATTGTCAGTGGCTCGATTACAAGCCTTCTCTAACAAATGCCCTGTTTGATCTTATGTTTAATAGAGATGGACTGCCCAATGGTAAAAGGTCGTTCTGTTGGAAAAGATTTCGTATAGATATCTATCCGGTTCTAAATAAGGGTTCAAATATTCCTGGTAGACTCAAATCTTCAATTAATATGGATAATCTTGAACATATTAAGATTGAAATCAATCCGAGGACAGCATCCGATCAGACTAGAGTTATGACAGCACCAATTGTTTTAAATGATTCTCCTGTAAGAAATTCTCCAAATATTTTGAGATATCCTGTTGCAAATTCCAGTGACACTCATACAACTCTGCGTAGGTCAGTTTTGCCAGATGCCACCTCTCCTCCAGTTCTAACTAGCGCCAGTGAATCAATATTTTTGCCACAGTCTCCAATTGTTAATAATGTATTAGTTTCAAAATCACAAGCTATTATAGTGGAGGACGACCAAGAAGATGAAGAAGAAGCTGCCAATTATTTATCTCAAAAGACCTCACCACGAACCATTATTGCAAATGGGTCTTCATTTTGTGCTGACCCACCACACCTGGTATCAATCATCGACCCTTTTAAAAATCGGAAGAGTAATTCCATCATTCCACCCAAAATCTCCACACCTAGAGATTCAAATTATCAAAATTTGGTGATAAAAGTGCCTAGTGCTGCTGGGATTTCTGGCAGTAGTAGGTTTAATTTTAATGTAAAGAGTTTGACCCAGTCTAAACCAGTGTCATTAATATCTAATGCCAATTTATCTCATGGCGTGCTAGAAATGGATAAAGATTATGATGATTGCTTGATTTCAAATCCTGACGACAACATCAGCGTTGCCAAATCAGTTTTAACTCCCCCACTCCCTATTTCAAACAACTCTAGTAATTCTGATAGGACAATTTTTAGCAATGTCAATCAGGATAGCTATTTAATACTCAAACCATTTATTGATGTTGACCACCATTTTACTGTCAATCCGTCTACTGCTAGTGCTGCTATTGCTTCTCCTATTCGTACGACAACAACGTCAACAATAACACCAGCAGTAAATGCTCCTATTACCGCAGCCACAAATGTAGCTACTGCTAGTGGGACTACACGTGCCGGTAGTGTCACCGTATCTAGCAATAATTCAAATACGTCAAATTATAATGTGTTGACAACTTTGAAAATGACTGATTTCAGTTTAAAAGATAAAACGTTCAAGATTGTAGCTGTTAGACAGTTGAATAATAATTCTAACTCGACTGAGAAATCTGAGAATCAGGCTCATGTAACGTCAGCATTGACCACGACCAGTCTGCCAACTACCGTTGATAATAAAAATAATAATAGCAGTATTTGTAGTAATCTTAATGCAAATACCACAGTTAACAGATCTGCCAAAAAAATTTCGTCGTCCTTATTATCCAATTCCTTTTTCGAGCTTGTAAAAAATATGAATGACTCTTCAAAAAATAGCAACAATTCTGATGATGTGACCAATGTAGCTCCTCGGCCTGCAGTTTTAACTCTTGAAAAAGATGCAACAAATACTTTGCATAGTGAATCAGATGATGCTTCAACGCAGAACCATCAAGAATCTTCTAAAGAATCCAACTCTAAAAAATTTGTGAATTCTAACGCATCAAAATCCACTGACGAATATCAGACTAAAGTGGATGACAATTCTTTGGACATTAATGCCACAGAGAAAATTCATGCTAACGATAGTAAGATAGCTGTGAAATCTTCATCAGATTCATCAGAGTCACTTCAAACCAAAAAAACAATTATATTACCGAAAAACCCTGTTCGTTATTGTAAATTGTTCACCTCGGCCATTTCTGCTAATGCTACCTCCAGTAAAACATCCGCTGGTGGACCGAGAGCAGTTGAATTAGATGGTATAACTGGCATTCGTAGGGATCATCTCACGAAACCTAAGCCAAATTTTCAACCAGTTCCAATAAAAATCTTCGCAAAAGATTCTCAAAAAATGGTTAAAATGCTGTATGTTGAGCCTCATCATATCAGCTCTCCTATGAAAATTCAACCTGCATTTAACCAAACGCCACCATTAAATTGTATTGAAATTACTGATTCCGAGGATGAAGATGATAAGAAACAAGCTAAGTTGACGATGCCTGGAAAGTCTCAGCTACCAAGAAACATGACACCAGGGACAAATATAGATGATGACGGTGATTGTTACAATGCTGCTCATCGTGATGATGGAACTTCATCGTCGTCATCTTCATTTTCATTGTCGGATAACTTTCCTACCGTTGCTAATGGTACAAACGGCGAGGACGTATTCAATACCACTGTTATTTCTAATATTTCCGCAGTTAATAATTCATCTGCAACTACTACTACTCCAGCAGCTTACAGCTCACAGCAGTTCACTGCGGTTACTACTAATAACAACAATGTTAATTATATTCTGTACAACGTTAACAATAGCAGCAATAGCGGTCGTGCGTGTTATAATAGAAACATCAATTCGTCAGTCAGTAATTGTGAAGTTATAAGTATATCTACTAGCAGTGAAAGCGTCCTAACTAATGAACAGAGCAATGCCCGTGAAGCTGATGACGATAACGGAATCACAATAATCACAGATGATTATGATAAAAAGATTTGCAAAGAGAATGATGAGCAAGTTGAAAATGAAAATTTTGTAAAAACATTACTAAATGCTGTTGCTGATAGTGTGGTAGACCGACAAACATTAACCGACATAGCGAAATGTCGTCATGTGACATCTGGCGTCAAAAATAAAAATGCTAACAGTACGTCAAGTAGCATGGATGTGGGCGAGTCTGACGCACTTGTCATAACACTCTGTTCTGCTGATAATAAAAATTCACATAACGCAGATAATGACAGTTCGGAGTCTGGATCAAATGAGTTAGTTACATTTTAGTTTAGCATTATTTTTATTGTGAACTTTATAATTATTTTTTAAATTGAAAAATATTTGTGATAATAATAATAAAACTTATCCATTTTCTTGTAGAAATAGAAGTCTGAAAAAATATTACAATATGCTCTACAAGGAGATCATCCAGAACGGCAGCGGTTCAGAGTTCAAGTCTAAGAAGATGTCGAAAGTTGAAATATTGAATAAAGTTAGTGATTGAAATTTTTTTAAATCGTCAAACTCTGAATCCTTTCTTAGCTACTACCACTACAATTTTTCATGTAATCTTCGTCTAAACATTATTAATCATCATTTCTATAGCTAAAGAGACCTCTATTTTTAATACCGTCATCATATTTTCGTCATCATTGTTTATCAGTATTATTAATTTATTGCATTGATCACTTTTTCAGGCTAGAGATGTGATAGAAAGATTAGAAAAGTCGAAAAACAGAATTTGCAACGACCTTTTTGATGAGAAACGGAGGAGGAACGAATTGTTGAAGAAACTCAAGCAAATTCGAGGTGACTGGGGTGTTGTGATTATTTATAACTAATGTGCTTTTTATTTATTTGCAAATTCTTTATTACTACGTTTTAAAGTTAATCCCACTAATAATTTAATTTATTAATTAATTAATTATAAAAAAATTTTCATGTTTGCAGATGCTTCAAAACAGCAGCAGCAGTCTGGTGTGGCTGGCGTTGTCAACATAGACTGATGTGGTCAACATTGATGCGGTCAATCAACATAGATTGATTTGGTCAACATCGATTGATGTGATATATGTGATTAATATGTAATTAATGTTGTCTACATAATGTAATGTGATGATGTGATTAATGTTGTCTACATAAGTTGATAAATATTTAATATGTTTAGAACTAAAGTTTTTTAATTATTTCAATTGTCGGTTGTTTTTGTATATAGAAGACTGTTGAATATTTTTGAACGTTTGAATTTGTTACATGTTTGTCCTTATATGATAAAATAAATTAGCGTCCAAAAAATTTTTAACTGTTGTTTTCTATTTTCGTGTAGTTTAGTTGTAAGGTTTTTCATGTTTAGCTGCTATCTTCTCAATCCCCGATAACTTCAAACTTACTTGCTACCACACTGAGTTCTTTGGCCGCGGACGCAAGGTTACCTCCTATGTCTGCAAAACTCTTGGCCACATTTTCAAACACTTCAGAGATGCACTCTAAGTGTTTCACCACGCTCTTGTCCAGATCTCGATCTATCTTTTCTTTGCTTGTTTCTTCTTTTTCACCTTCAACTTTTCCATTTTCAACTTTTTTGCTTCATTTAATAAAAAAATTTTATTCTGTAAAGTTAAATGTACAATATAAATTGTTAATAAAAATTAAAAAAAAAAGCCACTAAAGTCAAATTAATACAAAAAATCATTTTCCGATGTTAAAACGATGAAGCAGTGAACTAACCTACAATCCTTTTTATGGTAGACATTGAAGTTGGGGTTTACCTGCAAATTGAGAACTGCACTGCTGTTTATTTGGAAGAAACAGATGGATTGCCTGGTTTGAAATATAACGTACTCGCATTCAGCTTCGTTCAGAATGCATTTCTTTTTGCAATCATGGACGGTTCTAGCTTCACTTGTGAACATGAACACGTTTTCGTCGGGCCTTCTGTCAAAAGTTTTGTTTTTCAACTTGTCCCAACAGATTTTCTGAAATGGTTCGGCCAAGATAATTACCGACGTTAAGTACGTACACAAAATTAGCGGTAAAGTTTTCGCCATTGTTAAATCAAGTTTAATTAATTAATTAATTATTATTATTAATTAATTAATTAATGATTAATTCATATAATAAAATTTAAGAAAGTAATATATTTTTTCTTATTGCTGTTTTATATCCACATACATATATTTCAAATAATAAATTTTTTCATTAATGTGGCAGAATAAATACTGATCGATGCTTTGCCAAATCAAATGAATCATTAAACAAATCAGCATAAATCCATGCATATAATATAAGTAAACTATTGTACATATTATTTTTTTAAATATATTTCAGTGAAAGGGCAGTGATCTGTTCATGCATTTAAAAATTACATGTTATTTTGTGGCGTAACTAAATTGCTATAGGTGGGTCTTAGAACTTGGAAGTTAGTCAAGTCAGTGATCTTCAGTTTTTGCCAACCTGAATAATTTATTCCCGTTTATTACTTGATTAACAACTACGATCAGATGGTTTAATCCTAATGGTTAAAGTGCAGTTATTGGGTTCAAATGCTAACGGGTCCCTGCCTATCACCTGCACTATTATATGGGTGGTGCATAGATTCACGCGTATGCAGCTTTGTTGTTGATACTTGATTAAAAAAAATAGTAAAAATGAAAATCATTAAATACTAAAACTTCATTTTGTTGTCTTGAGAGGCTAAACGCAAAAATGTGTGAATTAAGAAAAAATACTTTAGCGTACCCAATTACAAGCCTCGCCGAATAACAATTGTTAATCATATTGTTGTTGTTTTGTTGTTGTTTTGTCGTCGTTGTTCGTTGTTGTTGTTGTTAATATTTTGTACGTTTGTAAGATACAAGACTGATAAGACGTATTTCTTGTGACACGTACAAATCTTTATTATATGAGGTCTCTACTCAATTTATCAAATTACTTTCTTGTTATTAACTTTTTTATCAGTTAAACATATGTGGAATCATATATCTTAATTAATATACATACCTCTACCTACTTATCTGTTTAAGTAAAGGAATAAATAAATACATGTCACACACTGTTTTGATTCTAAATATGTCAAATTTCTTTTTTTTTAAAATAAAATAAATTTGCAGCGTTTAGTTGGAGGTTCTCAAACTAAAAAAATTTACAACAAACGCACAGCTAAACTTTTATTTTAAAAAATTTAACCAAACACAATTTTTTAACAAACAAAAATTGCATTTTTGTAAAAATTTTGACTGGCGACATCAGTATAGACCATCAATTGAAATTTTCAAATTTATTTCAATCACCCGCACTTTTTCCATCTTCTGACAACTTGCGTTCCCATCTGCGATTTTATCAGTTCCCTCAGAGACTAACTTGACTGTTGTCTGCAGATTATTTTCAACGTTTCCAAAACTTTTGGTCACATTTTCAACCCCTTTAAGGACACGATCTTTCGAGTTTTCAGTTTTATGGTCGCCATCTTTTTTTCACTTTTTTCATCGCTATATAGAATGAAATTAATTTTTTGAAAGTAATTTATGCAGCCTTTGAGTAAAAAACATAATCAAATAAACAGGATTTATTTGTTGATGCATTTTCAAGTGACATATGATAAAAAATGAAATAAAAATCAGCCAACCTGCAGTTGATCTTTTGATAGACCACGTGATCTACGTTTTCCATTAATGCAGGAGATACCGTTCGATTAGTGCGCACGTAACAAAGTGAATGTTTAGGCAGATAGAGAATGTATTCACATTCAACGCCATATTCGGTGCATTCACCCTGACAACTGTTGACGGATGAAAGATGTTTAACTCTATAGTTGACGCCATCCTGCATGTTGATGCTCGTTTTTTCAAACTTCTTCCAACAAAATTGTTGTAAATGTTCATTTGAAACTGGCTTTGAGATGACGGCCTTTATAAAAGTTAGGCAGAGGCACAAAATTAAAGTTTTCTTCATTGTGAAACGACTGTGGATGGAACTGCAATACTAATAAACTTTCTTCATTAATCTATTAATAAATATATACGCGCAATGAAATTATCTCTGAAAAATAAAAAAAATTTTCTTTATTAAATAATAATAAATAAATTTAGAATCATTAAACAAATTTGCAAACAACTTTTAGGTTATGCAAACAAAGCTGTTGAAGCGGTAACGATTCATAATAAGAATATTTTTTGATGTTCTTAATATCAATTGATATTACTAATAACTTTTATCACGAATAATTTGTTCTGTTAACAACCAATGTGAATTGAACAGACAAACAGATGAACACATACGCAACCAGATGAATAAAGATGCAAGAAGATGAACAAACTTGCAAACGGATGGACGAACAGGTAAACATATGAACAAAAACGTTAAAAAATGAACAAGAAAAGTTGAACATAATGAAACATTGATGAGATGAAGAATAAATATTGTTTAATATTCTTTAAAGATGTTGGGTGTTTGAATTGTTCCTCTGTGACTCATTGTCTCTAGTTGTAAATTTTTTTACAAACATGTAGTAGGTATATTTACCCTTTCAGACTAAAATTACTTGAAACTTAAAGTTTATAAATTTTATGCTCGGATAGACAATATATACTTGTCTTGTCAATTTGTTATATAAACGTGACTTACAATGCCAACCAACAACAGCAGAATGAAGGACGATTGGTCCTTCGAGGAAAGCTTCGTTTGGTAAGTGCCTTTGATCCGAGGTAAGATTTTTATTATTTCGATTGGTGGAATCTTTTCGAAAATTAAAAAATTAACAGAAAGGAATGCTAGTTTAGTAATCATATCCCATCTTGTTGAATATGGATTTAGTAAACTATTGTGAGTTTTTACATTGTGGCCTTGATATTCTAACGACATAAAAACTTTGGTGAAAAAATAAAGTGCTGACTTCAAACTCACGTTTTTGGATTGTATAGCGAACGATTGTTAAATTTTGGATCTACAAAATGCTTCTTTACCTCGATTTAATTTTAACGAATAATATTAATAGCACCATTAATGTTTATTTGTTATGAATGTTTAAAAAAATAAATAAAATAATGATAAAAACAGACACAAAAGTTTATTTTAAATACGATAACCAATAAACGTTGACCGCTTTATTTGCACATAAATATTTGTCGACTTGTTTTTCATGATTTATAAAGTTATTTAATAGTATAGAAAAATAAAAGTGATTTATTTAAAAAGTTTAAAATAGGTATTTACACACAAACGTATACACCAGCCACACGCATCACATTTATTTGCATCATGTATTGTGTATATAATGTTTAAAGAGTGAAGCACTGTTAAATTTTAAATATATGCACATGAATCTGTGAAGCTGACGATGAAAACAACATTGGAGGTAGTTCTGTTTCTCTACGTAACTCTAACAACAGCTGACGTGTCACAAGCAGCCAGAGATGAAGAGGTGTACTGACTGAGTTATAAGAATGGGACAATGGACAGCTTGATGAATGGAGGGACATTCAGATTGGAATATGTTAGCATGGTTGAAGATTGCATGAAGAGATGCACTGAACATGCGGATGAATGTAACTACTTCTTATTTCGTGCCGTGTATGACCAATGCTTCTTACAGGTAAATAGTAGTTCAGCGTTTGCTTTCGAAGATGATGGTTCTTCAGATATCTACATGAAAACTGAGTGCAGGTTCTTTCAGTTCTATCCATTATTTTTTTTTAAATTAAATTTCTTTCTAAAAAAATTCAACACAAACAGTTTTCATCGTTTATAAAAAAATTAGCTTCAACAATTCATTAATTATATTTTAAAATTCAACACATTTGACTGCAAAATTAAATTCCATTTGATGAAGCAAAAACATGGAACGCCAAAAAAGAGTTGAGTCAATACCATCCTGGTATGCCAGTGCTGGAAAGACAGAACCACCACCAGATATAAACAAGTTTGTTGCGCAAATCATAAAATGCATGGATTTAAGTATTTACTGTAAAACCTTTCATGTTACATATGAATTCAGATATTAAACAAATCCACACACACATGATTTAATTTAATCATTTTTTAATTATATTTTTGAAATTCAACATATTTGACTACACAATTGAATTTCATTTGTTAAAGCAAGGAACTGAGTGTTGGGCCACAAGCAACTCCACCGGTCATAAATTTGGAAATAACAGAACAGAAGAATATAACCAAGTTTGCATAACTAGTCTTATAACAAAAACGCTAGACTCACACACACACATATATACAAAACAGAACCACCTTAATATTATTCAATCAATTTGATGAACATAAACTAATTACATTGTAGCTAAATTGTGTGCATCTGCACATATATTTTCTAGAAACTTGTCAAAAGTGGTCTCAAATAAAGTCTGTTGGGAAAAGTTTAAAAACAAAGCTGTGGACCTACTAATGCAAAGACACGATTTTAAATTAGTAAAAGTCAAGAACGTTAAAAAATGTAGAAAGAAATGCCTTAAATTTGGTCGCCAGTGTCAGCACTTTGTGTTCATTGGGCTCTTCGATTACTGCTACATCGAAATCGAGGGCGGTTACACTATTGTTTTAGAGGAAATGTTTTCTTCTGAAGTTCATCGGAGACAGAAGTGCAAGTGATTAGTTGTTTGTATGGCTTCATGAAAGCTACATTTCCACACATTCTCATTTGTTAATGTTGAGTATTTTTTAATCAATTTCTTTTGGCATTCATCTGAAATTTTTACAATATAAATTTTTATAGAAAAAGAAAAAAACCCAAAAATAAAGCAACAGAGGAATCAAAACTACAACCGGACAATAAAATAGAAAAGTGGCTGGGGAAGTATTTCAAAATGTAACCAAAGGTCCTGAAGTTGTCCTAGAACTGCAGCCAACGAAACTAAAGAGCTACAAGCGGATAAAAAGAATACGCATACATATGCACATTCGCAATCGCCGAAGGATTAAAAAAACTTAGTTTTTCAGTGAAAAATTTAAGTATGCCTGTCCAATTGCTTATTTGACGTTTTACTCTGCCTAAGTTTGCATTAAGTAAATTTTTTATTTCGAATAAATTATTAAAAAAAAACACGCACATGTGTAATAATTTATAGAAAATGAATACTGCTTGACAGTTTGCTTAGGTTTTCGAGCCAAATCTAGCTTACTTATAATTGAATATTTCATTGAAATTAATAACGAACAGAGGAAGAGGATAGCATTTGTTATTTTAGGTCATTAAAAAATATTTCACACGGCCGACCAAACGTTGTTTCATATTTATAATTTCATAGTATAAATAATTAATAACATTATATGTACGTACATATGAAACTCGAGTTCCTCATGATAAATATAGTTTATAGCTCGAACTGTTTATTGTAATGGAAGGTTAAAACAAAAAATTGATTTCAGAACGAACTGAAAACTAAGGAAAATAAAAAAACTTTTATCAGATGTTAAAAATCTATTTGTGAGTTTGCACACTCCCATCTTTATGTTTTATCAACGGTTTATTGAATGTTTGACTCGTTTGATTTGTATTAATTTTATGCCAATCAAACAAACAAATTTAAAACGGCCTTTTCAATAAAATTCAAAATACTAATAAAAAATACAAACACAGGCAATATTGAATATGATAATTAATAAGTTTAACAAATTATTTTTTGAAAAATGTGTCTGTTGGTTGAATCTCTCTCTCTCTTTCTCTCTCTATTTCAATACATATATATTTAAATGCATACATTTGCTTAGTGATTAATTTTATTTTGAGTTTTGTATTTAATTCTTTCAAACGTATTCGTCATATATTTTTGTATATATATACGTATATATCAGCAAAATCATTGAAACGTTTTAATAAATTTAAATGGATAACCTTTTAACAGTGAATCTCGAAATGTTCCGGTTAAAGTTACTATGTCTCTATTTATTATCGACGGTCGTCATCACCTCGACAGCAGCCGAACAAGATAGTGATGTGTGTTGGGAAAGATTGGAAAACAAAACAATTAACAGAGTTTGGGATAGCAGAGTGTTTAAGTTTTCCGTTCAGGATCTTGAGACCTGCAAGAAGATATGTATCGAATTCGGTATTATTTGTCAGTACATTGCAATCCTCCAAAATTTTCAAAATCTTTTGAAACATTTATAAACACACGAGCGATGCTTTTGAAGACCTTAGTCATAATCTGCTCCGAATTTGGTTTTTCCACTTTTTCATCGGTTGGATGGTTGGCTTTGGTATCCGTTTTTTCTTCCCCAGTTTTGTTTCTTCAAAAAAAAAATTGTGTAGTGAAACATTTTATTTGTTTATAAATAATTTATAAATTCTATTTAATAATTTTTTATTCTATTTTATTGTTTGAAAAATCGGTTAAATTAAAAGGACTGTAGAACAAAATCAGCCAACGTGCATTCTACTTTCTGGTGTACCTCCTGAAACCCCCTTTCAATTAAAGTGACGTCGGTGTTCCGAATGACTTGGATGAAGCAAATGCCGTGAAAATCTAAGTAGACGAGGTACTCGCACTCAGAGCCACGCTCCATACATTTTTCTTTGCACCTATCCAGCGTGTGATTCGCTCGGTATTTGAAGGTGTAATTATCAAACATACTCTTGATGGCCCGGTCTTCAAATTTATCCCAACAAACCTCATTCTGAACTTGCTTGCACAAGTCAATGAAGATGAATGTTGTGTAGAGAAAAAAAACATGCTGTATATTTAACTTCATTTTCAACTAGATCGTTTCAAATTTTATCAAATAACAAATTTTTTCCATTAGTTATATTTATATATACGCAATATTTTTTTGAATATACGTATAATGATCGTAAAATAACAAACAGTTAAACAAATAATCGTTTATCGAAGTTGTTTAACTAAGAAAATTTTCAAGATGAGATTAGTAAAATGTAGTAATTATTAATAACATGCTTCATACAATTTCTATCTGAGGTCATTAACTTAATAAAATTAGAATTATTAATTGTTTTTATCATCAGATATCTGATGTCTGCCTGCTTGGGTCAACAACAGATGAGCAAATATGGATGGGCCAGTGAAGTTAAATCTACAGATAAATAAATATCTTTGTAAATATCAAAGAGACAATTTTTTTAGTTTATACATGCTTTTTTAAATTTGTATTTCTACTTTTTTAAGTTTTTCTCTTACACTCTCCTTCTTCTCTTCATCTCTCCCCATCTCCCCACCCTCTCTATCTTTCGTTTGTTTTAACGCGATTCTTTGCTTTTCTAACATTCTACAGATTGTTTTCTGGAAGTTGTTTTAAAATGATCGTAGCTTCTACCAGGATAATGTTCAAATTGACCAATGATAAGTATCATTTTGATTAATTCAAGCATTTTCCAGGTACGCTTTAACTTCAGGTTAGCAACGGGCGCCACGTGAAACTAATTTGACCAAATTCAAAATTATTTCAGCATAATTAATGATAATTTCAAAGTTCTGTTATGAATGTTTGCAATTATAGGACTTTTTCATACATCAGAATTTTATTCCATAAGTTTAAAAAAAATACGCGTTTTATGTTTTGTAGCTTCTATTTCAGTAAAGTCTTTTGCGTAATGCGTTATAAATTTGTGTTTTGAAGTTTGTAACGTAAAAATTCATTTGTAATTTAATATGTAGTTTGAGGAACATTTAAACTCAACCCCTAAAAACTTTTAAGTTTGATTCTGCAGCATATTTCAACCATTTTCAAAATGATATCATGAAATTTTCTTTAGCTTCTCCATCCCAGATGACAAATTCATAAAGTTGAATCGATTCTGCATCAAGATTTTAATTAATTTTGGAATGAGCCGTAACATCAAGTTATTAAACTCTTCTATTAATTTTTTAAACTCACTAAATGAATGTTTTTAAACGAATGAAACTGCTAAATCTTTATTCAACATTACTATATTTATATTTAATAATTTAGCCACTATAATAGTTTCAAGCAAGTCATACAGAAAAATCTGCGAATAAATGTTTATTTTGTTTTTTTGGTTAAAAAGTTTAACACGAATGTTTATTTAAAGGAATTTGAAAAATTCATTTCAATTTCTTGTTGTTATTGTGCCAATTTTTCTGCCTCCTTTCTGTCGCGACTGATTGCCTTGAAGTTATCAGCTACAGAGTCAATTTCTTGGCCGGCATTGTTGAGGTTGCTTCCAACGTTTTCGAAATTTCTGGCCACATTTTCAAACACCTCAGCAACACATTCCAAGTTTTCGGCAACATGTTCACCCAATTCTTTCGCTTCTGATTTCTCCTCTATCTTGGGTGGAGGCTGTTTTGGTTTAACTTCCTCTTCGTCCGGTTTTTTTCTTAACGAATGTTTGTTCGTTTAATTTATTTAACACTTAAATAACTTTATAAATCATCAATAAGTGAAAAATAGAACGGATGAACAAATGAACCAACATCTTGCAATCTTTCACGGTATAGACATCAACAGCAGCGCTTTCTTTGAAAGTAACAGCGAAATTTCCGTTAATCTGGTAGTAGCAATTTTTGCCCGATAAGACGATGTTCTGACAGGCAGGAGGACCAAGTGAGGCGCATTTCTTCTTGCATTCTTTAACATTTGTGTCCTTCAGCAACGTGAACAAATTTTCATTCGTCACTTGTTCGATAGTTTTATTTTTCGTCGTTCGCCAGCAAACTCTTTTTTCGACTGGTTTAGACAGAGTAAAAGTTATCATGGTCAGGAAGAGACCCAGCTTAACAAGAACAGACATCCTTCTTTGTAGATCGTATCAAAGTGGATTTCAAAATATCTGTAGTGAATGACTGAATTTTCTGTTACATCCTTTCATCTTTATAAATCATTTTTTATTATTTGATCAAATAACATCTTTAAATAAACAAAATGCAAAATAAAACACACACAAAGTTAATACTTCAAATATGAGAATCATTAAGCAAACTGGTGCATCATATTCAAACATAGAAAAATAAATTTAAAGAGAATTAAATTTTAAAAAATGTTCCAAAGGGCAGTAACATCAATTTATCTACTATATTATATTTAAAAAAAATTTATTTTTCACTTCATTAAATAATGTACAGATAGTAACTAGAGCTTTCGCCTTTTTCGCCTGAACGATGGTTCGCCTGATGACACTTCAGTCCAATTATTGAAGGTAAACCAGCCATTAGTTCAAAGTAATTAAGATAGTAAGTAACATGGCATGGATGGGCTTAGCGTAACAAACAGAAGTGTTCTAGTTTGAAATCATTTTGTTGTTTATTTTATTTTTTTTTAATTTTTTAATTCCATTTATTCACAAAAAAAGTGAAAGATTCAGCCTAGCAATAAATGCTTATCTAAGGTTGACTCCCATAAAACAAGAAATAACATAGTAAGTAATCAAAAAAAAAACAATAACCTAAATGAGTAAAATAAATGTCTTTTAAATTCTTCAATGTTCTTAAATTTCCATGAATAAACTTAGAAATAAAACATCGATACATCTAAACTTAAAAAATGAATAAAATTAAAAATAAAATATTAATACATTTAACTTAAGCAATTTAAAAATTTTGTTGTTTATGTATTTATAATTTATTACAAAAATTAATATTTAAAAATATGTCATTCAAAATCATAATATATATATATATATATATATATATATATATATATATATTTGTCCTTATAAATGGTAAATTTATGTTAAGCAGATATATTTTTTTACCTAGTGTTTGTCTAAATGTTTGTGACATTATTTGTTTGTGACATTTTTATTGCGTTTATACAATGATGATAATAATAACAGTGATGATAATGAAAATCAAAATGATGAAGATGATGATGGCGACGATGATAGAGGTGTTAGCAATAATGGCGAGAGTGATTATAAAAGGCTGTAGAAGGTATTGCGTTCTCATAAATTTTTAATTTCAAAGTTTTTAACCTCAACTTTTTTTCTCTAGAATCTCAAATTAAAATTAATTCAGACAAATGCACACCCACACACCCACACACACACCCACCCACCCAGCCACACACACACACACACACACACAAACAAGCACACACACAAACACATGCACACACACACGAACACACAGCGCACACACATACATACAATCAAACACATATTTTATCAGTATTAATTTTTTCAAATATTGAAAATAATTATTTACACGTAGCAGAGAAACGTTTACAAGTCATCAATTCAAATAGCGGCTAAAAATTGAAACCCAAAATTTATTCCACCTAAACTCTTTCCAAATGAAATTCGCAGAATTTAAAAAAAAAAGAGATTTATTTTACCAAGCAAATAATTTTTCGTGAAAAATATTTTAAATCCAATTAATTTCTTCGCACGAGAGAACGACTAAGTTTATTTTTTGCATATGAAAATAATTGCATTAATTTGAAAAAATGTTTTTGAAATGAAAATAGTGATATTTTACAAAATAAATATCAAAATAATGTTTACAGTCGATAAGTATTAGTAAAGAAAAATGAAGTATGACATAACTATCAGGATTACAACGGTTGCAACAAAACAATCAAAAAATGTGCATAGAGGCAAAGGAGAAATGGTTAAATGGCCAAGTACGAAATCATTGGAAACATCAAAAAGAGTAATACAAATTGCAATGTATCAAAACATCAAAGGAATCGCTGGAAAAAGGGCTTGTACCGTTTCTGGATGCATAAAAGCCTAATCCGGTGAAGAAATCTTGGAGAAAGAAAAAGTACTTGAAAGATGGACTGAATACATCAACGATCATTTAGGTGATATCCGTTGTGAAAAGCCTCCTATTAAAAAAAGACGTAGTAGGACCAAAGATACTTAGATCTGAAGTTCGTGCCGCTCTTTCCAAAATGAAATCAAATAAAGCACCAGGTCCAAATATAATAGTTGTTTAAGAAATTAAATGCCTTGCACTGAAAAAGTGACAGAAATTTTAAATGAGATTTATAACAGCGGCAAAATTTATGAAGATCTATCCAAGTCAATAAGATTGTAAATGTGATATGGATATCAAAAGAAGGATAGCTATGGCAAAAGATGCCTATTCTAAAATGAAAAACATCCTCACCAACATTAAAATCATAACATCAACAAAATTAAAACTGTTATGGTGTTACATTTTTCATGTGCTAACTTATGGCTCTGAGTCCTGAACAATTTCTAAAGAAATGGAAAAAAAATTAACGCTGCTGAGATGTGGTTTTTGAGAAGAATTATGAAAATTAATTGGGCATCTCATACCTCGAATGAGGACGTGTTAAAATAGTCCGGTTATGGAAAAAGAAAATTACTATTGATAATCCGACGGGGGCAGTAAAAGTTTTTTGGTCACATCATGTGGAAAGAAAGAATAGAAAATTTAACAACTACTGGAAAGATTGCAGGGAAAAGAGATTGCGGTGAACGACAAATAACATTTATTAAGTTCTTGTGTTACTTGCTGAATATCACCACATTTCAACTCTTACTAAGTGCTAAAGATCGGGTTTTGTGGAGGTCGATGGTTACCAATGTCTTTCTCTATTTCTCTCTCTCTCTCTCTCTCTCTTTGTCTTTTTTTTTGTCTTTTTCTGTCTCTGTCTCTTTCTTTCTATTTTCTAAGAAACATTTTTTGCTGAAACATCATTAACGTTCTCAAAATTTTTCAAAAATTTGTGTATCTCTGTTATTGCGTTTATTTGTTCTTAAATAATTTGATTTTTTTTTCTGCTCTTTGCCTTTTTTCATTTTCCGCTTTTCTGCTATTTTTTTCATTTTTTGGTTTTTAAATTTAAATTTCATTTTTCAAAATTTTTTTTTCATGGGTGAAGATCGTGTTACTGAAATGGACAGAAAAATGCACATCACTTAACCATTGTGCTTCACAATTACCATCAGCGTCGTCGTCATCATAATTTTTTTGTCATCATTGTGATAGCTGTTTAAAGTTATTACTATTTTTATATTTTCAGCAATTATATTTGAGCAAAAGCCACGCAAAAACGTACAACTTTCGAGGATGGATATAAAAAATACAGAATGTATGCATTTTAAAAGTTTTTATAAGATAGTCACGTAGTATTTGGTTGTTGTGCTGTAATATATCTACTTGGTGTTGTTGTTGATTTTTTTCATAATTTCCACACTACACACGCACACTACACACGCACACTACACACACACATTACAAACGCACATACAAGCAGCCAGTAACACATGCAACTACTACAGGCGAAACACATTTTGAAACAATTCATTCTGTCAAATATTAACATACGCTCAACTGCACGTACATATGTAGGTTTGTAGGTTTACACACACACACACACACACACACACACACACACACACACACACACACACACACACACACACACACACACACATACACACACACACACACATTGAAGGAAACATACACTAACACATACACACCTGAAACATACACACAGAGAAACAAACATACATCACGCATATGTACACACAAACAAGTAAGATTATAAACACGTATTCATTTCTAAAGTTCCAGGCACAATGAAGAAAACATGCTTTATTGCGTCAATTTGTTTTTGCAAATTCATTTGTAATAATAATAATAATAATAATAATAATAATAATAGTAATAGTAATAATAATATTATTATTATTATTAATAACAATATCGCTCCAAGCATTTTGTCATATTGCAAATTTTTCCGACTTGACGACAGCCTTTTGAGCATATGTTATTAAATTTGAAAATCTACATCAATATTTTCCACTTAGTCATCGTCATTATCATTGTCATCATCGTCATTATCATCGTCAGTAGCATCATCATTATCTTTGTCATCATCTTCGTCATCGTCGTCATCATCATCGTCGTCAGTAGCATCATCGTCGTCGTCAACAACATCATTGAAACGTTAACAGCACTAATGGAAAGATGAAAAAAGTCATAGTTTTTTTAGTAAAAAAAAATCAAAAATGAAAATAAATAAATAAAGATTATGAAAAAAAGAAGACTCATTTGATGGGCTCTGATTGGCTGATTTCTGAGGAGGGGATTAGCCAATGAGATGGGAGGACGCTCGATGGATCACTTCGTAAATATTTGGCACTTCCAGGTCTGCTTGCTGATTTAATTTAAAAATACAATTTTCCTCTCAATTAAGAATTCTTTCAAATTGAATTTTCTCGAAAAAAAGAAAAAGAAAGAGGAAGAAAAAAGAAAAGTGTGAGAGAGAGAAAAAAAAACTAGAAAAGGAAAAAAAGAGGGAAGAGAAAAAAAAATGTTTATAGAAAAACAACTAAAAAAGGTGATAGAATTTATGATCATGTTGACTGCCTTGTCGTCATTATTGAAGACAAATTTTTCTTTTAACTTCTACCTCTTCCTAATCCACCCAATCATCATCGTCGTCGTCAGCTACGTCATCATCCACGTCATCATCATCTTCATCATATCATCATAATTGTTACAATAACAAAATATGATGATAACAGTATCATTCTATATCATTATCATATTGCCATCCGCATTGTGCTGGCTGAACTTTATTCATACAGCCATGTTAACCATTTCGCTCGCCCATCCAGCTATACATCTAGCTATCATTGCAGCTATCCATCAATTCATCCATCCATCAATTCATCCATCCATCCATCCATTTATTCATCCATCCATCTAACAAAGGCATTCCACATGTTAACAACGGGAAAGACCCTAAGGGCTGCATGCACGTATGCATGTACCTAGGATGTGTTATGGTGAAGAAGAAGATAAAGATGATGATGAGGATGAAAATAATTATGATGATCATGGTGATAATTAAGATTGTTATATTAAAAATACTTATAATAATAATAATAATAATAATAATAATAATAATAATAATAATAATGATAATGGTGATTAGAACTTTGGTTATGATAATGATGACGTCGCTGATTAAATTGATTGGTGTTGAAAGGATTTTAACCTTTGGAAATTTTCATCATCCTAAAATGTGTTTGTGTACATAGATATTGATTAACGCGTGTATGCATACATATATACTTACTTACGTACGAACATACATACATACATACATACATACATACATACATACATACATACATACATACATACATACATACATACATACATACATACATACATACATACATACATACATACATACATACATACATACATACATACATACATACATACATACATACATACATACATACATACATACATACATACATACATACATACATACATACATACATACATACATACATACATACATACATACATACATACATACATACATACATACATACATACATACATACATACATACATACATACATACATACACCCTAACCTATCATATTTACGCCCTAACCTATCATATTTACAATTTCGAAGTCAACTTAAAACTTATTTATTTGCACAATGAATGTCCGTCTTATTTGTCTATGATTTAGTAGCGCTTTTGAGATTCAACAATAAAAAAGCGCTGTATATAAATTTCCGTAATAATAATAATAATAATAATAATAATAATAATAATAATAATAATACATACATACATATATACATACAAAACATTTGACATTTTTTCAGTTCCCAACCAGAACGTGACCCGGTCGAATAATTAAAATAATGATGGCTCCATTGAATCTTGCTGTTGTAATGATGACGACGATGACGACGATGATGATAAAGATAGCGAAAATGATGATGATGCTGGAGATGATGATGGAGATGATGATGATGATGGAGATAATGATGATGATGATGACGAAAACAAGGACCGTGATAACAATGGAGATAATGATGATGACAAGACGACGCCGATAATGATAATGATGGCAAGAAAAATGATAATGATGGATATAATGAGAAAGAAATGATGACGACGACGATGATGACGACAACAACCTCCCAGACGGTCCTTTTTGTAGACAGGCAGGGTTAAAAGATGTTCAATTGATGGATCATCATCTTTAAAACATTTTGCTACCGTGATGGTGTTGTTGATGATGATTCCGAATGAAATGAAGGAAGAAATATGAATGATGATGAAATGCCCAAAGATTATAAGTAATCATGACAATTATGAGAGAGTTGATGATGATTGTGATGGTGATCATCATCATCATCATCATAATTGTTATCACAATCATCATTATTATTATCATCATCACCTTCTCATCATCATCATCGTCGTCCTCTTCTTCACCATCATCATCGAACTGAAAAGAACCTATAACTATTACGAAAGACCGTCTAAATATGTAGAATTTTTTTGACAGATGATCACATGAATGTACAGACATGTAAGATGTCTCAAAATAAGTCTACATCTTATTGCTTGTATGTCTATAAGTGCCTCTGGGCGTCTCTGTATATTTTTGTGTATTTGTCTTTATTTGCGCATACGTTTTAGTATGTGTACATATGCGTGAAGATTCACAAAGCTGAAAGTTAGATGTAAATTTAATTTAATTATTGTTTAATTTGTTTAATTTTCGAAGTGAAATCCAAGAAACAGACCGTAATTGAATTAAAATTAGGAATCTGATGCATTTCTCATGTTGTGTTTGCTACGTTACGAACGGTGATTTAATTTCACACACTTGCGTCTAACTCCATCAAAATATTACTGATTTGTTATTTTCATAATTTACTGAAAAAATTATTTAAATATATTATTGTTATTATTTATATTAGTATCGCTATTGTTATTGAAGTAAAAGAGAGCGTTGCAGCGGTCGAAGCAGACTTGGTATGGCCGTTGAAGATCAACGAGGTACAACTCAGATTTGAAAAAAAACCCCTGTGTTTCTTGATGTAAAATACGACCGATTGCTAAATTTTGAGGAACACGCCAAACCAAGAATACAAAAAATATACAAAAAGTGTAATGATTTAAAAGCACTCAGTGGTACAACTTGAGGGTACCAGAAAAAGACGTTACGTTCAATTTGTATTACCCTCCAACGCAGCCTGGCAGAATATGCATGTGCCGCGTGGAGCCCATGGCTGTCATCAACGTATTCGCTAAAATAGAATCAGCTCAAACAAAAGCAGCAAGGCTAATTTCAAAAGTTTTGCGAAGTTCTCCTAAGGAAGCTTCCATTCTTGAGGCCAATCTTCTTCCACTGACAGATAGATGGAGAAAGATTTGCATTGAAACAACCTCATAGTAGTACAACTGTAAAGATGATGACGACCGTAAAACAAAAAAATCTGAGTAGATTTCTCACAGGACATCATTTTGGTTTGAGAAGTTACTTAAAAAGGTTCGGCCTCTGTGAATCAACTACGTGTTGACTGCGTAGCACGGAAGATGAAGATAGGGAGCATATTTGGACTCGATGCGTGTCTCTGGTAGAGATGAAGAGGATTAGATGTGGTTTAAAAGAAAGGTTGGACGAACTGACCACGGCATTCCCTGCTGCTATTAAATTGTTAAATGATGTTTTTTGCAGTCTGAAGGGGAAAATAGATGGAAAATGAACCACAACAACAACAACATAAAAAAAATTTTGTTGGAGAAAAGATTAACGTCCTTCATCCATAACTTTGATGAAATAAAATTTTTTCGACTTTATTTTATCGACTCATTAATCCGAAACAAATGATTATTATTAAAGTGCGTAAAAATTTTTGCGAAAGTCAGGAAAATATTAGTTATTCATTTAATTTTGTAGTGTTGCTCTTGAAAACGCTTGTAAAAATTACTATTTAGGGTTTTTGCCAAGGACAAACGTAAGTGAAATGTTTACTCTGATACTTTTATTTATATTTTTACAATTAATAAAAAACTTTCAATTCATTTTTTGTAATTCTTTTAATAAATCTAGCTTTCAACCAAATCAAATTCTAAATTATTTGAAAGAAATATTTCATATTTATTTCCCAGCGGCATGCACAACAAAGGCACATGCATCCTAAACCATCATCATTTCTTACTACCATTTATTGTAAATTTGGTTTTATTAAAGTGAAAAATTAATAAAAAATGTCGGATGAGCAAGAAAAAAATCGCTTAATCTTCTTCTGGCGACCTCTGACATTGAATGAATAAATGATCGCCATATCCATATAGGGTTATGTTTTTTCATATGCATCTATATCTTTTTATAAACACACACACACACACACGCACACGCACACACACACACACACGCACCCCACACACTCACAGACATATATTATATACATTTATATACACGTATGTATCAATTTGTACATATGTTTGCATGCATGTATGAGTGTGTGTTTGTATGTATATATAATATACACAGGGGCGCATTTGACATGCACGTGAGATTATGGAGGAATTGATTGAGACATCATTTCGTGTTTTGTTGCTACGGTGAAGGCTTACGTGGTCAGGTTTTTTGTTGCTGTTGTTGGAGTTGATGTTTTTGTTGATGTTTTAGTTGATGTTATTGTTTATTTACTGTTATTGTTTTGCTGATGCAGTTGCAATTGTTGATGTTTCATTATTTTAAAGGTTTCAATTGATGCCAGTTTAATGTCTGAGTTGTTTTTAATATAAGCCGGAAAATTAATTTTCAGATTTATTTAAAAACGACATTTGAAAAAATATTTTAAAGTTTCTACACAAGATTTTGTACTCTTTTTCATTTACTGATTTGTTAATTTGAAAAAATGTTTTTATATAATTAAATTCGACCACTACTTTTGTGATATAAAAGTCAAAAGTTTAATACAAATGTTGATAATTATCAATCTGATTTAAATTTAATTCAAATTTTTCATTGAACTCAGTTGCTAGTGACATTATTCCAACTCAATAAATCCATTTGTTGGGAGGTTTTTTGTTTTGTGTGCTGACTTGCAGCGTTTGAATTTACGAAATGTTTTGATAAACAATCAGGTAACAATAACAGCAAAAAAGTTATTAGAAATAACAAAATAATAGTAGTATAAATCAAACAGCTCGGATACCACAACAACCACCACCACAACCACCAGAACAACAGCCACAACAACAACAGCAACAACAACAGCAGTACCAGCAACAATAAAACAACAACGACAACAACAACAACAACAGGGTACTATCAACAACAAAACAAAAGAAGAATTAAAGACGCCGTTCAACCAAACTGAAAAATTAATTGCCGACAATTTGCAGCCATCATTCATGTGTCTCCATTCCTAATGGCAACGATGAATTTTTCAGTTTGAATTTTATCCACTTCAAGCAAGATTGGACAGCACGCAAATAACAACATATAAATAATCTTGCCAACACACTCTTACATGATACTTACACACGATCGATAAAAATAGTTCAGCAAACTATATAAAATTCATTAACTTATTTTAAAATTAATTGAGTTTGAACATTTTTTAAATTTTACACTCAAATTCTTTCAGTAAACCTCAATTAAATTCTCACAAACACAAACGTGCTTACACATACCAACAAGACAAACACATACACACTCACACACACACATACACACTCTCACACACACAAGCACACACAACATGACTGACGAAGAACAGCGTCACAGATTGGTGGTCCTTGGCTCAGGTCGAGTTGGAAAGACCTGCCTACTGCAATGCCTCCTCAACAACAAATTCATCGAGGCCTACCGACCAACCGTTGAAGATTTACACTGCAAGACATTCGTCTACAACGGTGGAGTCATCTCGGTCGATATTCTAGATACAGCTGGCAATCTCGAGTTTCCAGCCATGAGACGTCTGTCTATATCAACGGCTCAAGCTTTCTTACTCGTCTTCGTCCTTGGTAACAAGGAATCCTTCGAAGAAGTCAAAAATCTTTGGAATCAAATCCAAGAACAAAAATCAAACATCAACGACTTACCTCGTGTTATTGCCGCCAACAAATGTGACCTCGCCACCGAATCGTACCGACTGATCGCCATGGAGGAGCCGCTGGAATGGGCAAGACAGTACGGTCTTTCGGATGCTCTGGTCGAAGTTTCGGCTAAAACCGGAGAAAATGTTAAAACGTTGTTTCGAAAGTTAGCTCAGCAGGCAAGTCATTTAGCTGCAGTTGCTCAGCAGCAGCAGCAACAACAATTGGAATTGAAACAACAACTGGCCGACGACAATGATATAGAGCAGCAACAATCTACGTTGAAGCGACATTCCAGTGCAAACTCGGCTCGACTGAATCCACACATGGCAAAGTTGAGAGAGAAGCAACAGAACACTGAAGGGCTGTCCAGAAGTCGGAGTTTGATCAGGAGGGTGAAGAAGACAAAGGTCCCCAGACCCTGTTCGACTGGCAATGATGATTGCGTCATTCAGTGAATAAGATGATGACATCATCGATGGCTAAGATAATGGTGATGGTGGTGATTATGTTGCTGGGAATAATGCTGAAAATTATAGTTATGATAAAAATGATCGTGGTGATGGTGGCGATGATAATGAACAGCGGATGGTTGCTGACAGCTATAATGAAAAAAGATGATAGTGAAAATCGTGGAAGTTTTAAAATGATGGAGGCGAAGAATCAACCGCTGATGAGTTTTTATTAATACTTCCAATTTTAAACATATATTTATTGCTTTATTTGCTTAGGTAAATAAGCCCTATTTCACTAAAAAGTAAAAACAAACACGAAAATATATTTGCGTACAGTCACATAAACAAACATGCATATACATTTGCGTACAGGCACATATACACGAGCATAAACAAACACACACACATGCATCTGAATACACACGCACACTCCAAACTTATTCGGGCAATATGAACATGTGAACAAATATTTACAAACACATGTGTGTTCACAATAAACAAACAAACAAACAGCATGAACATTTATACGTGCTTAGGTACGCACACAATACGTAACTGTACGTCTAAGTTCATCCATGTATACAAAAATTTTGTGCATGTATCCGCAAAAAAAATTTTCTCATATAGATTTTTCAGACTAATTAATTTATTCCTGTACTTAATAAAGATTATTTTGTTTATATATTAATTTTTATTTCTTTTTAATATACACAAATGTTATTGCTTGGGATTTATGGAATCATATGTTATATCACACAGCATTCAATGCAGTCAAAAATATACATACATACAAACTTCAATAAAACACAAACACACATACAAACGTATATACAAACTTCAATATTATACAAACAAACATACAAACACACATACAAACATCAATGATATACAAACACGTACGTACGTTCATTATAGCAGACGCACAAACAAAAGTACGCATACAGTCACATCCAAATGAAACACACTTCACACGCTAACGCACACATACACACACTCACGCACCTCTATAACACCTAATATCTGTAAGTGCAAACCTATTTTCAAACAAGAACTCATAAAAATGTACAGTGAGTACATTCAAACAAACGTAGACGCGATGACAAAAAGGAGGAGAAAAATAAACATCGAACGCTTGCGTATGTGGTGATATACGCACGATAATTACGTCATCTCTGCGTCATCAATCAGTCGACCAATCACATTTCTAGGCCGATCAGATGCGATGCGATGATCGCAAATTATTTCCAACGTTATCGATTCCCCACAGCCAAACTTCAGCACACGTCCAAGCATGTCAAGAAAAAATTATTCCCCTCCCTCATTCTCTCACTCTCTCACTGTTCCCCCTTCCCTACACCAAACTCTCTCTTTCTATTTCTTTCTCTCTTTTTTTTGATAAAAACATTTATAATATTTTTATTTATAATATTTTTGAAAACAAAAACCATTCACATATAAAATCATGCATATGTACATATATATATATGTGTATATATATATATATATATATATATATATATATATATATATATATATATATTGTTCATGAAAATTCCAGCATTTTTTTCGTTAGTTGACTTCCTGTTTAATTTTTCGATTTTTCTAACGGTCGTCATCATCGTCATCAACATCGTCATCATCATCATCATCGTAATCGTTCTCAGCATTAAAAGGACAAAATGTTAACCTCATTCGCTCGTTTACTCGCACTGACATCCACTCACATTCACTCACTCAAACAACCAGTCACGTGAGGCATGACGTCAGAAAACATTATGGCGTCGTGTGAGCAAAATTTTCAAAAATTTCTTCCGTTTCTTCCTGGAAAAAAAAGGATGCCAGAATCTCCATCATCATCATCGTCATCATCGTCATCATCATCATCATCATCATCATCGTCATTGATATTATCTCCAACACAACTGTCATCATCAATGTCATGATCCTTTTCTTCTTCTTCTTCTTTTTTTTCTTTTTTTCCATCATCTTCTTCTTCTTCTTCCTTTTCTTCTTCATCATTTTCTAAGTGGACGTATATCACTTCATCGTCATCATCTTTTGAATCGTATCCATATTTAACGTTTATTAGAACTGTCGTCCTAACACATCATCATCGTCACCAGCATTGCTCTTTTCATCATCATTTCCATCAATGTCATCATTACAATTGTTGCTATCATCTTTTTTGTTTTCCACCTTGTCATTATCCCATTTCACATTTTGTTGTCTTTTTTTTATTGTCAAAGTTAAATTGGACTGTTGTTGTTGATGTCCGCTTAGTTTAACATGGTTAATGAATTCACCACTACCATCAATTCAATGGCGTTTTTTAAAATATACAGAATATTAAAAATAATATACATAACTCACAAAGATACAAAAATACAAACACACGTACAGACATACAAACATATGTACAAAGATACAGACACAGGTACACGTGCGAACGCATACAAACTTAACATGCATAAAAAAGACATTCGAAGCATAATGATATATCTATAACAGTTCATTATTCAATTATTTGGTGCACTCAAAAGAAAGCTCTTTGTCAGTAAATCAGACACACACAGACACACACACACGTGTATATATATATATATATTCATATATTAATATAAATACATATGTTTGTATGTGTGTATATGTACGTGTGTGCGTGTGTATACATGTAAACGTATTTGGGTAATTATTTTTATACTTTGGCTACTGTATTATTTAAATCGATTTTTTTTCTAATTTTTCGTTTAGATAATTATATCATGATATGTTGATTAACAAATAAGTAAAATTAATTAATTAAATGATCAATTATTTTACTGAACAATTATTCAATTAGGGATATAAAATTATTAATTATATTCAATTAATCTGCAGATTGATCTTTAAAATTTTTTCATACATATAGCTGTGTCTTGTCTTCTAACATAGATGAATAAACATTATTTTTTTTTTAATTTTGTTTTTTTATTCAGTTAAATCAAAAAATCAGAAAATTAAATTAAATCCTTGAATTGAAAACTAATAGAAAGCAATGTATACACCACTAATACGATTATAAAAATCATCGCCATCAGGAATTTTAATCAATGTTTTGGCCAGCATCGTCGTCATCGTTATCACGGCTGTTGTTGATGTTTTTGTTGTCATTACATTCATCACATTCGTCATCACATTCGTCATCATCACCGTTGTTGGCATGATGACGTCACTAATGATGATGAGGAGCGATGAGGAGTCATCATCATCATCACCAGCAACATGATCATCGTCATCGTCATTAGCAACATCATCATCCTTCTCATTATCGCGATCAAATATTGATGAAGCTGCAATTTAAAGCGTAAAAAAACTACTAGAATGAAATAGATGATGGCTGTAACGACGACGATGATGATGACGACGATGATGAAAGTAATGATAATGATGCTGGTGATAATAATGAAAGTAATGATTATAATGATGACGACGATGATGATAACGATGACGATGATGAAAAGAAGCGAGAAGGAAAATTTTTTTTCTCGTTTTTTAAATAACATTTACCGCCGATTCAGTAAGCAGCGGTCCGTAATAATTACATTCAATGCACGAAATAATAATAATAATATAAAAAATAATAATATAATAATTATATTATGTATATATATATAACTTTTTTGAAATTTTATTATATAAAAAGAAATGAAAAAATAAGTTGTAGATGGTATGGCAAAATGTGCTAACTGGAGTGATTGGATGAAGTAAATTTTTATGAAAAAATACCGCTTGTAGTGCTACCGCTACTACTGCTACTTCTACTGCTACTACTACTGCTACTACTACTACTACTACTGCTATTATTTCTACTAGTGCTACTTAGCTTTTCTGATGTTACTAATGCCATCTTCACCTATGTAACTGCTTTACTCTTAAATAAAAAAATGATAGTAATAAAAAATTTTTTTTTTTAGATTTTTGAAAAAAAGATTGTCAGCCCCCTTTAAAAATGTTGAAATGAAAAATTTTTTTCGAAAAATCTGGTGGCTATTTTGTTTGCTCACTTCCGCTTGTTTTAAAAGTTAAAAAATGAAAACGAAACGAAAATTTTAATTTTTACTTCGTAAACATGTTTATATAAACTCTGAAACTGAATTGAAAATCCAAGAATTCGTGAATGTTAATGGAAAAATGCGAAAGTACATGCAAGTACTTACAAGCTCTCACATAAATAATTTAAAGATGCTTAAAGATACATACACGCTCACACACACACACACACACACACACACACACACACACACACACACACACACACACACACACACACACACACACACACACACACGACACACACACGCACATACTCACGCAAACACACACACTTTCACGCACACACATACTTACACACCACACACTTACTCACACACAGACACACACACACACACACACACACACACACACACATAAACACACACTCACGCACACACACACACACACTCACGCACACGTAAACACACACTCACGCATCATCATCATCCAAATCAGTGTTTCCATTAACATCATCGTCAACAACATCATCATCGTCAACATCATCATCATCGTCAACATCATCATCATCGTCATATTAGTGTCATCACTATCACTTGTGCGGGCTTCATTTCAAAGGAAGCAGGATTAAGTTATCACAGCTGTCATGCATGAATGAAAAAATAGATGAAAGAGTGAAG